TTTCTAAATGGGCATATATCTTCAATGATGTTTGTATATATATATATATATATATATATATATAGCTCATTTCAAATCTTACAACTCCTATTATGATTTGATAAATCATCAGCAGCATCAGCTTTTATTGAGAAGATTGCAAGGATCCCTACAAACATTTAGAGCTTTCTGTATCTTTGTTTATATTTGTTTGTATGTTAGTATCTTTGTATATGTTTAGCGTTGTATATGTTTGTATCTTTGTATATATTCAAAAGTATCTTTGTATCAAACAATTTATTCGTGAGATGTGATTTTTAATTGCAACACGTGTGCAAGTGAATTTCTAACTCGGGAGCTATAAAAGGGACAGTTAAGTTGTGTGTGTGTGCTTGTTTGTATTTGTGTATGTGTGTGTGTGAGTGTGTCTGTATCTCTGTGTGTGTGTGCGCGTGTGTTTGTATTTGTGTGTATATATATATATACTGTAAAAGATAAACCATGAATAAATAATGGAGTGAATGAATGAATAGTTGAGTGGATGGATGAATGAAGGATTAATTAGATGGTTCATTAATGAATGAAATGGTAAACAAATGAATGAAAAAATGAATGAAATGAAGAAAGAAAGAGATGAAGAATAAATAACTCAATAAATAAGTAAATAGAGATATTTGAGCTCTGACGATGATGAACAAATACTAGAGTATGTGATGTTGCGTTTAGCTAAAAATGATCTTTACATATGTTTGTATGTGTGTGTGTGTGTGTGTGTGTGTGTGTGTGTATGTGTGTGTGTGTGTGTATGTGTGTATCTATGTGTGTATGCATGCATGCATGTCTGTTTGTTTTATTGATTCAGCCTTCCTCTTCGCTTGAATATATATGGTGACTTCTGTTCAAGGCAAACAAATATGCTTCTGCGTAGAATATTATTACTGCTGCTACTACTGCTGCCACCACTACTACTGCTGCTGCAGAATGTTATTGTCGCTACTACTACTACTATCACTAATAATAATAATAATAATAATAATAACAATAAAACAACAACAACAACAACAGCTACTGCTACTACTACTGCTTGTACTACCTGGTGTTGTATAAATCCCACATCAATTTATCACGGATTTATTGCAGACATCCGCTGCATTGTTCGAGCGGGCGGGACAGTGGCCATATTGATTACTGAGTTACTGCTACTGTAATGAATTACCGATCCGCATTACTTAATGCAATGATCGATTACAGGTAACGATTTAAATGTAATGGTGAATGACTTATGCAATGATTCACATGACGAGACATTAGCCGTATCAATTACTGAATTACAACTCTAACAAATTACCTACTAGTTAATGTTGCTTACTGAAGTAATACAGCAGTAGTAACGGTAGCAGCGGCACCAGCGGCAGTAGTGGTATTAGTAGTCATATTACTTAGTTTTTGTTTATTGGTGCAGTTATGTCACGTGTGAGAGGAACAAGAGAGATGATTGGTTGTGAGGTGAGTGCAGATGTTCTTAGCACATCAAAGGAGGTGTTGATGATGTTGACGACGACGATGACGATTATGATAATGATGATAACGAAGACGCTGCTGATGCTATTGCTGCTGCGGTTGCCGCTGATGATGTTGACGGCGATTATAATGATGATGATGTTGATGAGAAAGATGATGACGCAAATAGACTGATATATACCTGCATAGTAAAGTAGGTACAAGTTGAGAAACCGGCATACATATAAACATACAAACAAGCAAACATACAAACAAGCGTACAAACAAGCATACAAACAAACACGCATACAAACGAACATACATACAAACGAACATACATACAAACGAACATACATACAAACGAACATACATACAAACGAACATACATACAAACGAACATACATACAAACGAACATACATACAAACGAACATACATACAAACGAACATACATACAAACGAACATACATACATAGCGATTCCCTCAACACGAAGCGGTAGCAATGTGATTCAATGTTTATATTCTTTTCCATTGTTAATTACATTGGGAGTGATGGTGACGACGATGACGAAACAGCAGCAGCAGCAGCAGCAGCAGCGGCAGCAGCAGCGGCAGCAGCAAGTACTACTACTACTGCTGCTACTGCTACTTCTACTACTGCTGCTGCAGTACAAATAACACTGAAGTAGTAATTATAAGGATATATAAGTGACGATGATGACGATGATACGAGGTGTACAATCTATCAATCCATGAATTAAGTTTATTTATAATGATAAATTTGTAGTAGTCGTAGTATTGTTGTTTTTATTTTTATTTTGTCGGATATTGGGGGTATTATTATCATTTCATGTATGCTTAACGATGATTGTGTGTGTTTGTGTATGTATGTATGTGTCTGTGAATGTGTGTCTGTGAATGTGTGTGTGTGTATGTGTGTCAATGTTTATGTGTTTATGTTTAAGCCTGTAATTGCGTGTGTTTACCAGCGGAAAGCACTCCCACAAAATGCATTAACCTTATAGTCATTCATACTTATTGCTCATATGTATGTTTGTATTTATGTTTGTTTGTTTGTATGTTTGTTTGTATATGTGTTTGTGTGCATGGTTGTTTTTGTATGTTTGTATGTTTGCTGTATGTTGTATGTATGTTTGCTTGTATGTATGCGTATATTTTTCAGTATTTTTTAAATGTTTTAACAAAAATTTCGACTTAACGTTGAAAAATTGAAATGTCATCTTTGAGATATCTAGAGATTGAGATGTGATTAAAAAAACATTCATTATCATCGTCATCATCATCATCATCATCGTCATCATCATCATCATCATCGTCATCATCATCATCATCGTCGTCATCATCATCATCATCGTCGTCATCATCGTCGTCATCATCATCATCACTGCGGACCAGTATCAACATAGTCATCGATCATTAAAATGCTCAATTAAAATGGACTGCTGGCTTTATATTATTATAGAGCCCTGAGTGATACAAACCTACTAAGTATGTTGCAAACTTATGCACAAACTTACAAACAAACATACAAACAAACATACAAGCAAACATACAAGCAAATATACAAACAGACATACAAACAAACAAATAGACAAACAAATAGACAAATGTAGGAACGATTATAGAAACATTTGAACATACAACAAACAAATTTATGTACAAACATACAATCAGATGTACAAACAAACGGACAAACAGACGGACATACAATTATTCAAATAAATATACGTAGAGACAAATATTTTAACAA